ATATATATATATATATATATATATATATATATATATATATCCTGTATTTATATATGTATAGCCATTTCCCCAGACTAAATGCTAAGCTAATTATGGTTAGCTACTGGCAGTCGCTTCAAAACATGAATTTAGTGCATAACTTGGAGGACTTTTTCTATATTTCTTGCAAGAAAGCAACTAAATAACAAACATAATAAGATGATAACAACAAAAACGGTAAATCATGTCATCTGGACCCGTTTCTTTAAGTGATAAACATTTTGTCTCGCATTTGGAGGACTTCTTCAGTCTGTGGCCTGCCAACCACATCTGTCCCATACGTAGCCTTCATTGCTGTGTTTCAAGCCAAGCTGCTGTTGGAATCTCAGAAGTAGACTTTAAACACATGCAAACAGGGCCCACCCGTCCAAAACAATCAATCCATTGTCATGTATAACAATCAAATGTTTTAGGTCAGTTTTAAGATAATAAGATGATCTTAAAACTTTCTGTTTTTATTGAGATGATAGTCTAGGCAAAGCAGGAACAAATGCAACTCTAGAGTAAGTCCAGAGTCAGTCTGATGCACAGACGTGTGCCTGAATAAAAACATATTTATGCAGCCTATGAGCATAAGCTACATTTCCTCCTAGTTTTGTTTGCAGCAAGGTGTGGTGCTAAGAAGCAGCTAGCCCGTCAGGTCCTACATGCAGAGCAACATACTTTCTGCTCCTTGTCACGGCTGCTTGACCGACTTGAATTGCTGGTTTTAATCATCACGCAAGAGGCTCTCTGGAAGGTCTGGGAACAGACCTGTTTCACAAGAGTTCCTTTCAGTATCACAAAAAAGGGTTAAATCATGTCACCTGGACAAACTTGTCCATATCTCACAAAAAAGAAATTTGTCTATATGACAAGACTGAACCCTTTTTTGTGATTAATCAACCTGGATGATTGATCTGTCAAACATTTTTCCTTTCAGTATCTTTCGCTGAAGTCTCTCTGTTCTAAAGCTAAATAAATTCACCTGGGCCACCTTCTAAAAACAACAGCCCTGACCCTTTTCACCTTTTCAGTTTGTATTGATTGTTCATGAACTCCAGGTGCTGTGGTTCAGTTTTGATCCATTTAAAGTGAATCAGACCCACCAATGAGCAAGCGAGACAAACATCTGGAAAAGGAAACGTGATGGTTCGTGTTTGGCTTCGCTGATCGCAGGAAGGCGAAACGGTTCATGGAGAGACGATGGAAGGATGTGCGGGTGGGAGACTTTGTGAAGGTGGTTTGCAACGAGATCGTCCCTGCAGACCTCCTTCTCCTCTATTCGTCGGACCCAAACGGTGTGTGCCACATCGAGACGGCCAATCTGGACGGAGAAACCAACTTAAAGCAGAGGACAATCGTGTCTGGACTTTGCACAACGGTGAGGGACTGAGGAATCTGCAATGCCTTTTGTTGTTCTTGTTTTAAATTTTCTGTGGTGGCAGGTTTCTGTATCTTTGTCCTACCTCTTGTTTTCAACGTGCAAATCTTTCTAAGCGAACAGCTGACGTGTTCTGACATTACATCCAGAGCCTGTCATCAAGTCAGAGAGTGGGACGACTGTCAGAAGAACATACCTGTTTGTCCACATACTCCAATGTTTCATATTTAGACTACAGCTGAGTTTCTTGAATGCAAAAATTGCCAAATCATTCATGAAGTTCAGGTTGAGTCGGATGAAAAATGTTTCCAGTCACATGGTGATGAAGTTTCTTATAATTCACCAGGATCGTGGATTTGAACCTGAGAGCTTCAGCAGCACTGTGGTGTGTGAAAAACCCAACAATAACCTGAATCATTTCAAGTGTTATGTGTAAGTATCAAACACCCCGCTAACACGGATCTCCACCCCAAAATTCCTCAGAGCCTTTTAAAACAGCCTGGCAAAATTAATTCAAACCCACTCACAGGAGCTTCCAGTGCTAGCAGACATTATCAGGGCTGTAATAGACTGTAATCGATGTCCTCAGGCACCACAGCTCTAACAGGCGCTCCTCTCCTGCCGTCCATCTATGGTCATAAAGCAAGAGAATTGCTAATGGGGACTACGTCAGCAATAATGAAAATCTAACAAGATCTGACAGTAAAAGGGATTCTCATTCTCTCTTGCTGCAGAGAGAAACCCAATAAGGAGAAGTTGGGCGCTGGCATCGAGAGTTTGCTGCTGCGAGGCTGCACAATGAGAAACACGGACCACACCGTTGGATTTGTGGTGTACGCAGGTATTTTCTCCACTGAGCCACTGCGTTCACCTTGAACTGTTTTAGGAAAATGGATGTACTTCTGGTTTTTGCTTCACCTAGTTGTATGAACTTTCTTACATAGATAAAAAGTTAGCAAAGTTACTGTCGTGGAAAAACGGAGATTCCCAAAACAAACCAAGGTGTATTTCATCAGATTTATGTACAAAGCTTTGGAGAGCAGTCCAACAATTCACAGAACATACAATTACAAGATTACACTCTATCAGTGTTCTCATCCATGTGAAACCCTGACCTGCTCTAACTCTCTGGACTGGACAAATTATAGAATAATCTTCCAGCCCAGGCCTCAGCTCCTGCCCTCCATGTCCGAGTCGTCATCAAAAGGTCCGCTGCAGACAGGAAGGAGTGGATCTGAGTCTAGGACTCTGCCTGAGACACGTCACCATATCATATCAACTCTATCATATCAATATCATATCAATAACACATCAATCAACCCTTGAGGATATCAAAACAACCAGTTCTTTCTGTTCCTCTCTGACTGGTCACAGTAAAAATGATTGCATAGGACCGTTTATCGTTCACAATCACAGTCAATAAATAAGACAGAGTATAATGTCTAAATCTACTTCTTAAGTAGAACACAGATAACACCTGATGAATGCATGAAAATACACATTTGTCTCAACAGTTACAAAGCAGAAAAATGTTTTTCTAACAGACAGCTGCCTGAAATGCCCATTTTTTTTGTAGCTCAGGTTCTTATTCGTATATGTATCCCTCTTAACACATACAGTACATTGCCCCTGTTACATAGCTATGTTCAACAAAGACTGGGCAGCTGCTTTAGATTCGATTAGTTGATCAGTCAGCTCACTAATCAAACCAGACAGGGGCTAGAAGGAGGGAGGCCTCAAGGAGACAGAAGCTAAACAGTGTTTCAGACAAGAATTCTACGTTGAAGGAGTTGAAAGTAAAGAGTTATCATTGCTTTTCATGTACAAGGCAGCCATTTAAGAGTTTGACATTAGGGTTAGTCGGGGTTCTTAAATTTCCTGAACCTAAAATTTTACTTCCAAGAGACGTAACAGATGAATTTCTTTGACCAGGAAGTTGGAAATTCCAACTTTTGAGTAAAAATGGACTGCACCAAAAGTGACCATTTTTTAAATATTTTTTTTACAACAGTTCATTATACTTGAGTTTTTCTTTGTACACGTTTCTATTTATTTATATTTTTTCAGCTAGTGTTACTTTTAAACCATTGTATTTAGTGAAGAGCAGCGCTACCTGTTTTGTATTTTGGTGATTTGAAGCATTTGTTGCTAACATGCTAACATGCTAACATGCGTAAATATTTTTTGTAAGTCATGTACTACATGATCCAAAATTAGGCCATGTTTGAAGATACTGTATGCCCAACAAAGTTAAGTCACGTCCTACGGACATTTTCTTTTTTGTTGAAACATTTCGTCTTTCATCCAAAGGACTTCTTCAGTCCGAGAAACCACAACAAACTCAGTTCCATGAGTGGATTACTCACATAGTGGGCCAATCAATTAATTAAATTCAGTTTCAGTTCAATTTATTAATTCTGTTTTATGGTGATAAGATGGTTTCTGGAGTCAACCCTCTCCCGTGTTGACTTCTCTGAGGAAGCCATAGCCAAAGTGGTATGGAAAGCTACCACTTTGGCTATGGCTGCCTCAGAGGAATCGATGGGAGAGAGGATGGACTCCAGAAACCATCTCATCACCATAAAACTGAATTAATAAATTGAATTGAAATTGAATTGAATTAACTGGTTGGCCCACTATGTGAGTGAGCCACTCATGGGACTGAGTTTGTTGTGGCTCCTCGGTCTGATGAAGTCCTTTGGATGAAAGACGAAACGTTTCAGCAAAAAAGAAACCGTCCGGAGGACCTGACTTAACGTTGATGGACTTTTTTTAACCTGGATTATTGAACATGAACTTTGATGTTTGAAGATGTGATTTAGATTGTTTTGTTCTGTAACTACATGAATACACCACTGTCTTTATGTACTTTTCAAGGTCATGAAACCAAGTCCATGCTCAACAACAGCGGGTCGAGATCCAAGCGCAGCAAACTGGAGCGAAAGCTAAACATAGATGTCTTCTTCTGCGTCATTCTTCTCTTCGCCATGTGTCTCATCGGATCAGTAGGTCAGTAATAAATTGCATCACTTTACGGTGGAGTCACTGCACAAACTGACTCATGTCCATTTATAATTGGCGGCCATTAGAGTTTCAATTAAGAGAGAAAGACTCACTTTTGGCCACAGGCTCAAACGAGCAAAAAGAGGAGTGGGGGGAGCTAGTGTGGTTGCAAAAATATATTTTTTGTCTGCCTGACAGTCAGTGTGAATAATCCTGCTGTTTTCATACACGCAGGTCACTACATATGGCTTGAGTCACTGATTGGTGCACCCCTGTACCTGCTCCCTGACAGCAGAAGCAACAGCCTAGCTAGTTTCCACATGTTCTTCACCATGATCATCCTTCTGCAGGTGACAGTAACGTCAATGATAGGTCTTTGAATACTTTGAATGTTTTGAACTAATGTATTTTTGGCACCTCTGCGGAACTCTTCCCTTCTCACAGATCCTGATACCCATCTCCCTCTACTTGTCCATTGAGCTGGTGAAGATTGGTCAGATCTTCTTCATCATTAATGACATTGACCTGTACGACGAGGAGACAGACAGCCGCATGCAGTGTCGAGCTCTGAACATCACAGAGGACCTCGGGCAGATCGACTACATCTTCTCCGACAAGACGGGCACCCTCACGGAGAACAAGATGGTGTTCCGCCGATGCTCCATCATGGGCACGGAGTTTGCACACAAAGAAAATGGTAAATGAGATGATTCAGGTACACAAGCACCTGATGCACCAAGTCAAACCCAGCTTTTATTGTCTTCTCGAAGATGCATGGGTAATAAAGTGCACGAGGAGACGGCATTCCTCCGGGATTATGATGCCACTCCACCATTAAAATAATCCAGATTTTAAAAAAAGAGTCAAGATCTTATACAGAATAATACAGTATGCACCTCACTCGTACACTGACTGACGAGCTAATTGCTAGTGCAAGAGGGGCCAAGACCAAAGCAGATAGATGCAGATGCTGTTTCGTGTTTATTTCCATCACTGTTAATTTTACATTGCATGATTATTTACGTAGAAGTCAGTGGTTGTTAGCGAGCACAGACACTAGCAGTAGCAGCTGGCTGTAGCACTTCTGGTGCAGCCCAGAGTATTACTTACAAATGTATCACAGTATTTCTGTAATGTTTTGTTTTACTTCAATACTTAGTGCAATGCCTTGTTTTATAAATGCTTTTAATTTTTTTTATTTGTTTTGTAATTAATTTGTTTTTTTTTTCTCTGTGTGTTTCCTAAAATGTGTTATTGATGTTGTGTCCTTTGGTTTGACTTTAGTTCTTAGTGTGACATAAAACATCACAAGCTGTGCAAGTCCAAAAGGACAAAGTAGTTTTAATGTTTAAATTGTCACATGAAGTTGAGTCTCCCTAAACTTTCAGCTTCATCTGTTGGTTTGGACTTATGAAAAAACAAGAACAAACTCTTGTAGATTGTCAGGATGTGCAGCAGAACTGCTGGCATAGCCCTACAGAACCTCACTGACCTGCACAAGGTGAGGTCAGTGAACAAGGCCTGGTTGATTCTGGCAGATCCTGATCATCCACTCCATGGTGAGTTCAGGTTGCTTCCATCTGGACACAGGTATCTGCAGCCCAGATGTAGAAAAAACAGACTGAAAAACTCATTCATCCCTGTAGGGATCAGGCTTCTCAACAAACGCGATGATCTCTGTACTGTTATTTTAATGTCTTAATGTCTTAATGTCTTGTAGTATGGATGTTTTGTGTGCCTACTGACTGTGAAACAAATTGCCCCTTGGGGATAATAAAGATTCTTGAACTTGAAGCCACAGATTGAGTAAAATTCAAGAGCAGGCACCAAGCTAACATATTTTTGAGTCTCCTTGTATATATTTATGTATTTGAAAACTAACAGTAAAGTCTTAATACTCAACATGTATTTTTCATTTTTTGTTTGTTGCAGCCATTCGCCTTGCTGTTCTTGATGAGCCTGAGTCCGAGGAGGAAGTCATCTTCAACCATCGTCTACAGAAGCCTCGGACCAGCTGGTATTTGGAAGCTGAGGACACCAGTCCTGTGGACACACATCAACACGGCTGGAGGAAAAGCAAAGCGGTGGGAATGGCCCAGAGCGATGTGGCCTTCAGCAGTCTACTGGTATGATGACCACTTCAGTCTGGATCTGCCTTATGTCACAGTCATGACTACTGACAACAAATATGTGATTTGAAATCCTACATTACTGAGCAAGAGATAATACAGCTTATAAAGACTTTGAGTCCCATTCAAACCCACCAAGATGGCTGCTCTAGTTTCTCTTTTCACTGCTCTCACTAATTCAAATAAACATAAATCCAAAATTGATTGTTCATTAATTAAGGTTTTGCACAAAAGTCATCTCAGGCTAACTTTAATTTATGACTTCTTGTGTATATAGTAGTGTGTTTTTTAAAGGGTGTACATATTTTTATAGTAGAAATACATTTTTCTATTTCAAATTAAATGATTTGTCTCAGACTGTCTCTTTGTTTACACAAATCTGACTCATCCCCGAGTCGAAGGCCTCATGGTCCCAGTCCCTGCCGCAGATGGTCAAGCTGCTAGGTGTCAGCGATGGCTCAGCGTTGCCCATGTGTCTGTGACAGGACATATGGTCACACCGAGTACCACTTGGCACAGATCATCGATGTTACATCAGCTGTAAATGTGCACTATAGATATGCAGCACTGTTGTGATATACAGTACAGTAACTGTCTATTTTTGTGCAGGGAGCCCAGAGATGCTGAGTCTGAGACAGAAAAGGCCTGCAGAGAGCCCAATTTTATTCCCTCACATGCTGCGTCTCAAGCAGAGCAGAATGATTGCAGAGATAAAAACATCCTCCCATCCTGCTTGTCCTTCGTTTACCCCTACATTTTGAAAAGGACAAACAAAAAGTTAAAGCCATAAAACTTTCTCTGATTAAGTCAGCTTATAGGGGAACCTTTTTTGTGTGGGTGAAACGGAGTCTGTGCACAGACATTCAGTATTTAATTAACAAACTGATTAACTTCTGCTTCATCAGGAAACTGAGGTGATTCCAGACCAGAACCTGGTCCAGCAGATTAGCCGAGCGGAGAGCAGCAGCCGCAGAGGCGGCAGCCGGAAGATAGATCCTTACCTGGACTTCTTTCTGGCTCTCACCATTTGCAACACGGTGGTGGTTTCCATGACAACAGCTCGGAGACGGAGGGTGAGTTTACTGTGAGAAGAGACTGGAGATGAAGAGGGAAAAATATGGCTGAAATATTTGTCCTCTTAAAACTTGCAGCAGCTCCGTAAATCTACTTGAACCTATAAATTTACGTTCTTCTAAAATAAATCTTTTTTTTCCTTTTGAAGTTTTAGTTAAAGGTAAGAGATTAGATGCTTTTTGACAAAGCTGTCAGTGATGGGTTTAGCTCATGATAAAGCAGAATCAGAATCAGCTTTATTGTCATTGCACTGAATCACAACAAAATTACATTTCAGTACAGCGTGTCCAAGTAAAACACAAACCAACAGACATGGGGAGACGGAGGTGTCTGAGGCTGTGGCCTCGTGGGAGGCGAGGCGCTGCCCTTTTCATTTAACTCAGAAAAGAGAAACACAAGGGAAGAGAATGTATAAATAGCATATTTCACACTGTGTCCTAGATGGGACACAGTGTGAAAGTTGAAAAAAAAAAGCCTCAGCACAGAAATAGCAGCATATTGATGACATTACAATATATATGCATGAGTAAGTCTGACAAAGGTGGTGAGTTTGTCTGTGGACATTGCCGGATAGTCCCCATAGTCCTAATAAGAGATGAAGCCATGTCTATCAGCCGGCTCAGCTCTGACACAGGTCCACAGATGTCCTTGGGAAGGGAGCGGGTAGGCGGTGGTGGGGGGGGGGGGGGGGGGGGGGCAGAGCTTCTTGTTCACATAACATCCAGGAGAGTTTGAGATAGTTGGCCATGTCAAGGTTGACACAGGGGAGCCAGATTCAGGTAACAACAGTTATTTTGGGTCAGGCTGACTCTGCTTGATTTCTGTCTGCCTTAGAGTTCCACTGGTATGGCTCAATGGCGACTTTAAACAGCCAAATTTTTTTGTGATCAACACCGCCGGGCCGAGCTTGTAGCTTCTCCAAGGCTGATTTGTTCTCGCCAGCAAGTTTCAGGAGCTGCAAGTGGCCTGCGATTCTCAGAGTCTGAGTGCTCACCGCACGGCACATTCCATTACACAAGCTGGGCAGCCTCACGATGGCCAGAACAGCTGCCGACGTTTTTCGCATTTGTCGATAAAATGGGTCAATTTGTTTTGATTTTACATTATACTGAATATGCCTTCTCTATGTTTACATTTACTTTTAGGCGAGTGTGTTTCAACGCTTCTCCCAGACAACTAACCCTTTGGAAGTATTATCCAGTCTGGCAAAAAAAGCCAGTTTATTCATCCAAGGCAAATCCGGTAGAAACCGCACCCAGTCCCAGGACTCAGTCGTAGACTCTGTAAGGATGGAGAGCACTACAGACACCTATGGCCTGCCTCAGAGCGACAGGCCTGCAGCAGCAGCAGCCACAGTGGGGTCAGAGGATCTGTACTACGAAGCAGAGAGTCCAGACGAGGCTGCCTTGGTGTACGCAGCCAGGGCATACGGGTTCATCCTGCTGGCTCGCACCCCTAACAGTGTAACTGTGAGGCTCCCATCTGGACAAGTCCTAGACTTTGAGGTGCTGGACAGCTTGACCTTTGACTCTAACAGGAAGAGAATGTCTGTGATGGTGCGACACCCAATCACCAAAGAATGTGTGCTATACACTAAAGGTGCGGATTACGCCATCATGGAGCTGCTTGGAACGCCATACGCAGGTAACTACTGGTGAAAGTAAACCTAGACTAAATTAGTGCTAATTTAATAAATTATTTGTGCTGAAAGGTCAGACAGGAGATAATATTTGCTCTGTGCAAAAGTTTTTAACCAGCCCTAATGATGTGATTGCCTCACATTATTGTTTTCCTCTTTGTTGTTTCTTCTTCTTTCTTTCTTAATATTTTTTGGTAATCTAACTTCCATCCATCCATCCATCTTTTATCTTTATCCGCTTCTTCCTTTCTGGATCGTGGGGGTCACTGGTGCCCATGTCCAGCCATCACTGTGCGAGAGGTGGGGGAAAACCCTGGACAGGTCACAAGTGCATCACAACTTTATCATAACTTTATTTAACATAACACAACATAACAACATAACACAACTTTATTTATAATTATATGGTTTATACCGGGCAGCACGGTGGCGCAACTGGTAGAGCTGCTGCCTCTCAGTGAGAAGGTCCCTGGTTCAAACCCCGGTCCAGGGGCCTTTCTGGGTGGAGTTTGCATGTTCTCTCCGTGCATGCGTGGGTTTTCTCCGGGTGCTCCGGTTTCCTCCCACAGACCAAAAACATGCATGTTAGGCTGATTGGTAACTCTAAATTGTCCCTAGGTGTGAGTGAGAGAGTGAATGATTGTTTGTCTCGTTTGTCTCTATGTGGCCCTGTGATGGACTTGCGACCCGTCCAGGGTGTACCCCGCCCCTCGCACAGTGATTGCTGGACATGGGCACCAGCGACCCCCGTGACCCAAAATGGAACAAACGGGTAAAGAAAATGGATGGATGGATGGTTTATACCCATTCACACATCAAAATGTTCAGCTCACTTGGAAGACTGGTGCTGTGACTTTTGGTTTTTGTAACCTTTATTTTTTTTTTTTTTTGAATATTTAACTTTCAAACATTTTCCCCTTAGAAATACATTTTCTGTTTCAACATGATCAAAAACATTTATCTCTTGGAAATCTGCTTCAGTATACTTGCTTTATTTTTGTCTTTCTGAGGCTCAGTTGGATTAACCTGTATAAATAAAGACTGAATGAACTTTTGGCTTATAGCTAGCCTTTTGCTTTCTTCACTTTTAGCTAGCCTTTTACCACTTTTAGCTAATGTTTTGCTACTTTTAGCTACTATTTGGCTTCTTTGAACAGTCAGACTTTCTTTTAATGTTTTCAAAGTGGTCTTGTTCAGTAACTCCTTAGGGTTTTAAAAAGTTTTTGTTTTGGCTTTAACTCAGGGCTTAATTTTATAAACCAATTGATGCTCGAACACAAGTAGTGGGCGGGGGCAGGTCTGGGGGTCCTCCCTCAGAAAATTTGGAATAAAGTAGATGTGATTTCCTGCATTTTGATGTATTTTAATTGGTTGTTAAACATCTATGTTTACCTACATTTCTAGGCCTTAGGAAGCATTGTATTCCTCTCCACCTCTATATGGATGACAGCCGGATTTATCTGCCTCTGCTCAGACACTCACCTGAGTTCCTTGATGAGATTTAGGCTTGGATTCTTTTAAATTTTCTAAATTTCAACGAGGAAAACAAGAAGTGATGGTTTTGGTCATATTTCAGCTTCTGCTTCTTCACGTCTTGTTCTCTTGTTCAGTACATCGTCAACTTAATTTTGATTTAAAGGTCAAAATTGATGCTAATCCTAGATTTGACAACCAGCTAAAGGCTGCTCATTCAAAGCAGCTGGCCAAGGTAAAGATTTTGCCACCGCTATTTTAAAGCACTGATCCACACCTGTAGTACAACCTGGCTAGATTACTGTAACACTGTATGTTGGAGTTAGTGTGTCTGTTGTTGCTCATTGAAAACTAATGATGCAAAATGCTGCAGCACATCCTTTAACTGGCACAAGAAAATTGAACCACATCACACCTGTTTTAAAACCTCTACACTGATAATTCATTTTAGAACCTATTTCAAAATATTTTTTAGTTTATAAATCTTTAAATGGTTATACAGTACCCCACTTTAATTGGGACGGCTGTGGCTAAGTGCTTAGAGCAGTCGTCCTCCAATGCAAGAGTTGGGGGTTCGATTCCACCAACAGTCACATGCCGAAGTGTCCCTGGGCAAGATACTGAAACACCTCATTACCTCCGATGTGTGTCCCATCGGTGTATGAATGTGATAAAGTACTGATTAGTCTCTGTACAGATCTAGTAGAGTGCTGTATGAATGGGTAAATGAGGACACAGATTGTGTTATAAAGCACTTTGAGTATCTTGATAAGATAGAAAGGTGCTATACAGTATAAGTACAGTCCATTTAACATTTATTCTCTTTGAGCTGCTACGCACTTACCTACCTGCCCACTCTCCAGGTCAGCCAGTCAGCTGCTCCTGACTGGACCAAAAACTGGGTGTAAGCTCAGAGACTAATGTGCTTTTGTGATAATGAGGTCAAAACTTTTGCCTTTTTATGTTAGACAAAGATCTTCTTCAGCTGCTTTTAAATGTTCGCTTAAAACTCATTTTTATTCCTTGGCTTTTGAAACTCGTTAGATGTTAATTTTACGTTTTTATTCCTGTTTTACCTTTTTGACTGAATGAATGAGTTTACTTGGTTTACTGGATTGCACTGCAAAGCACTTTGTTCCTTTGAGGAGTTCTAAAGGGCTTTATAAATAAAAGCTAAATTGAAAACAAAGCTGAAACTCAAAGAAAAACTTTAAAAGAACTTCACAAAACCCAAGGAAATGTACAAGAAAGTCTATCTTCTAGGAAGCAATATAAAAAGAAGTAATTACGTCAGATTTTTGCATTGTACCTGGTCCCATCATATTTAAAATGGACACAGTCTGAATAGATGTGTGTTATTTTACCGGCAGAACACCTGGGACAGAATCAGAAAAACATGGCATCAGATACTCAACGTCACCTTGACTGCTACGCTAAGGAGGGCCTCCGCACTCTGTGCATCGCAAAGAAGGTATGATCTCATCAGTCTGAAACGTCAGTCCTGCAGACCAAGATGTTGGTTTCATCCTGCGTTTCTTCTTCTGTGGCAGGTTGTGAGTGAAGACGATTACAGAAGCTGGTTAGTGGACAGAAAGAGTGCTCAGGCTGCTATAGACCACAAGGAGGAGCTCATCATGGACACAGCTGTGCAGATGGAGACCAACCTCACCCTGCTAGGTAACGCACATTATCCCCTCCACTTGAATTGCAGATAATGAGATCTGTGTGTGAACTCTGCCTGTCTTGGGGTGCTCGTCCTCCTGCAGGGGCAACGGGAATCGAGGACCGTCTGCAGGAGAACGTCCCAGACACCACTGTGGCTCTACGAGAGGCAGGGATCCATGTGTGGGTGCTGACAGGTGACAAGACCGAGACGGCCGTCAACATCGGCTATGCCTGCAGGCTACTGGAGGAGGACGACCTGTTGATTAACATGAGCTGTAAAAGCAAGGTGAGGAGGCAGATGTTTGCCTCACCGAACACTGTTTGCAAGGCTGCCTTTTTATTGCAACAAGAAACATTTAAAAGAACATTGCTGAATTATTACGCAGCATTTTAATGAGAGTTGCATGTGGAAAAGTTATGTTCTTGCGTTTTATGGTCTGGATGCTGAACTAAGTGCATTATTAGTGCTTAGTGTATATTTAGTTGATGTTTTTCTTAGTTCATATCTTAGATCTTATTACTGTTTTTATTTTATATTTTATTGTTGGATGTAACTGGGACCCTGTGTACATAATTTTGTTCCACCACATGTACCACATGGCATGACAAATGACAAATAAAGAACCTTGAATCCTTATTAGTGTTTAAAGCAAAAAAAAAAAAAAGAATTATATGTCATATAAATATTTAGTAGAAAAGTAAACAATTAAGAGTAACACAAAGTTTGTTTTCTCAGTCATCCAGGTATATAACAACAAAAAAGGTTGAATCATGTCATCTGGACTTCGTTTTTTTGTTAAAAAGAAACGTTTCGCCCCTCATCCAAGAGGCTTCGTCAGTCTGAGGCCTAGCCATCTGGTATTACCCAGAAGCCACCCTGACTCTTGTGTTTCAAGCCTGCCTCAGATAC